TATATATATATATATATATATATAAAAAACATTTACGTAATCTAACAAAGTTAAGTCAGGTCCTCTGAACGGATTAAAAAAAATTGCTTGTTAAAGCGTTTCGTCTTTTATCCAAAATACTTTGTCAGGCTGAGAATATGTAAAAAAACTCAGTCTTATAAATAGCTCCTTTTCATAGTGGATCAACCAGTTTGTTGTTGACATCCATAATTTGCTGTTCACATGATAAAGGAGGACCATTAGCAAGGAAGAACGTGGCCAGACAGCATTGAATGGTTCAGTGTAGAATGTTGTGAAGAAAACAAAAGGGTAAAATCAGACAAAAAGATGAAATGGTGGAAGCTGAGGAAAGAAGAATGCTATGAGAAATTCAGAGAGAAGCTGTTAAAAGCGCTGGGTGGTAAGAAAGGGCTTCCAAATGACTGGGCTACTTCAGCAATTGTAATTAGAGAGACAGGTAGGAGGGTACTTGGTGTGTCATCTGGACAGAGAGTGGACAAGGAAACCTGGTGGTGGAATAGTAAATGAACTGTACTTATATAGTGCCTTTCTATCATATCAAGATACTCAAAGTGCTTTACACTACAATCTGTGCCCTCATTTACCGATTCATACAGCAGTCTAATATATCTGTACAAAGAATAGTCAGTGCTTTCACATTCATACATTGATGGGACACACATCAGAGGCAATGAGGGGTTCAGTGTTTTGCCCAAGGACACTTCAGCATGTGATTGCTGGTGGAATCAACCCCCAACTCTCACATTGGAGGACGACTGCTCTAACCACTCATCCACAGCTGCCCAATAGTGAATAGTGAAGTGAAGGAAGCTATTCAAAGAAAGAGGTTAGCCAAGAAGAAATATAAACAATGAGAGGACTGAAGAGAGGAGACAGGAACATAAGGAGATGCAATGTAGAGCAAAGAGGGAGGTAGCAAAGGAAAAGCAGAAGGCGTATGATGAGTTTTAAGGCTGGACACTAAAGAGGGCGAGAAGGACTTGTATCGATTGGCGAGACAGAAGGATCAGGCTGGAAAGGATGTGCAGCAGGTTAGGCTTGTTAAAGATATGAATGGTAATGTTCTAAGCAGTGAGGAGGGTGTGAGGGAAAGATGGAAGGAGTACTTTGAGGAGCTAATAACTGAAGAGAATGAAAGAGAAAGAAGAGTATAGGTCATAGAAACTGTGGACCAGGAAGTGGGAAAGATAAGTGAGGGTGAAGTCCGGAAATCTCTGAAAAGAATGAAGAAGAGGAAGGCAGTAGGACCTGATGACATACCATTGAAGGTTTGGGTATTTCTTGGAGAGATGGCAGTGCGGTTTCTGACTCGAATATTCAATGGCATATTTGAGGGTGGAAAAAATGCCTGAGGAATGGAGGAGAAGTGTGCTGGTGTCCATTTTTAAGTATGATTGTGATGTACAGAGTTATAGCAACTACAGGGGAATTAAGTTTATAAGTAACACAATGAAGATCTGAGAGAGAGTTGTGGAAGCACGACTTAGACGAGAGGTGAGTACTTGTGAGCAGCAGTATAGTTTCATGCCAATAAAGAGCACCGCAGACGCCATCTTTGCTTTGAGGATGCTGATGGAGAAGTACAGAGAGGGTCAGAAAGAACTCCATTGAGTCTTTGTAGATTTAGAAAAAGCAAATGACGGGGTGCTTAGGGAGGAGGTGTGGTATTGCATGAGGAAATCTGGAGTGGCAGAGAAGTATGTTGGATTGGTAAAGGACTTGTGCAAGGACAGCAGGACAGTGGTGAGATGTGCTGTAGGAGTGACAGATAGCTTCAAGGTGGAGGTGGGATTGCATCAAGGATCGGCTCTGAGCCCCTTCTTGTTTGCTCTTGTGATGGACTGACTAACAGATGAGGTCAGGCAAGAATCCCCATGGACTATGATGTTTGCAGATGACATTGTGATCTGTGGTGAGAACAGGAAACAGGTGGAATAGATCTTGGAGAGGTGTATGTATGCACTTGAAAGAAGAGGACTGAAAGTCAGCTGTAGTAAGACAAAGTATGTGTGTGAATGAAAGGGAGGCCGATGAATTAGTGAGGCCACAAGGACCAAAGATCACAAAGGTGCAGGACTTCAAGTACTCTGAGTCCACTGTCCAGGAAAATGGGGAGTGTGGTAAAGAGGTGAAAAAGAGAGTCCATTCAGGTTGGAGTGGATGGAGAATAGTTTTAGGAGTGATTTGCGACAAAAGTGTGTCAACAAAGGTAAAAGAAAAAAGTTTCCAAGACAGTGGTGAGACCAGCTATGTTGTATGGTCAGGAGACAGAGACATGGACAAAAAGACAGGAGAAAGACATGAAAGTGGCAGAAATGAAAATGTTGAGGTTCTCCTTAAGAGTGACAAGGATGGATAAGATTAGGAATGAGATAATCAGAGGTACAGCACAGGTTGAACAACTGGGAGATGAAGTTAGAGAGGCCAGACTGAGATGGTTTGGACATGTCCAGAGGAGGGACAGTGGGTATATTGGTAGAAGCATGTTAAAAATGGTTGTCCTTGTAGCTGTTTTAAGTGCTGTATAAATAAAATGATATGGTATGGTATGGTTTGGTATGGTATGGTATGGTATGGTATGGTATTGTATGGTATGGTAAAAATGCAGCTGCCAGGAAAAAGACAAAGAGGAGATATATGGATGCAATTAGAGAGGACATGGAGGTAGTTGGAGTGAGGACAGAGGATGCAGAGGACAGAGTGAGATGTAGAAGGATGACTCGCTGTGGAGACAGATGAAGAGGGAAAAGAAGAACACAAAGACGTAGATGTAGACATAGACGAAGACAAAGAAGAATGAAAACCAAGACAATGATCCTAAACACTGTAAGAAGAGGTAGTTTATCGGGTTCGTTTTAAGGAGAACCCGATAAACTACCTGGAATGGTCTTAATATACTGTAGTCATCTCTAATTTGATTTAAGGATTGTTGGAGACGAGCAGAACCTAAGGAAGCTGCAGCAATTTTGTCACGAAGAGTGGACCATTGGTTTGATAAACCTTCACTTAATATTGAGTCAGAATTATTGAAACGTGTTTGACCAGGTTCAGTCATTGTGGCTGCTTGTTTTCTTTTCCAAAATCTTTGCCATCTGTCATGCCCACAGCTGACAAATATTTAAAAACTAATTTAAAATTTTTTTTTCTTATCTTTATTATTTACTTGATGTTTGAATATTTTTTGTGTTATAATCCTGTATTTTTTTTTAAATAATTTATAGTGATGAAACATGCAGAACTGGTGATACATTGTTCCTGTAAGTCTGTACCGGTCACATTTCTGGCAGTGAGCCTTGCCATGCTGGGTCATGCTGTACAGACAAGTTATTTTCAGACTTTGTGGCATGAGAAGAATTTTAGACTGGGTTTGTGGCACTCTGGGTGTTGTCATCTACTAACGCTTTCCAAAAAAGATGACTAAATTTTGTTGCAGATCACTGACAGTGCCGCCATCTTCAATCGAAGAAAGTCAAAACAGTTACGATTATTCACTTCTTGTTATTAGTTTTGTTTTTTGTAACTGATTGGCTGTAGTTGAGCTCATTGGTCTCTTTTACTTGTCTTTTCCAGCTCGCATGACTCCTGCCATGAAAATGGCCCCTTCCGACTCAAAAACACTGAAGCTGCTGTCTTCTATGAGCCATGCCCCTGCTCTGAAAGTAGAGACCCCCGCCCAGCACACGGCCCCGCTGTATGAGAGCGAAGAGCTGTAACGTCATCTGTTCTGACTGTCAGACCTTAAACCTATTTTCAGACTACCAGCATTGCAGCAGATGATTTCATGTCTCAGACTAAATTAATTACATTAATTAGAAGCAATACATTTTTTTTGTTTTTCCACCACTTTATTTACGAAAGCAGATCTTCTTGCTAATACAGTTTTAAAAATCTCCTCAGTTTGTGACATCCAGACCTGCATTTTTACAAGTAGTTTGAAGTAGTTTGGGGAAAATGACGCCAAAGTTTACTGTAGAACTGCATCACAGCAGTTTTGGGAAACATGTTTCAATCTTCTGTTTGTCACCTTTTCTTTGTGTTTATTTCTGTCTATCCTGTCTGCTCTGAGTCAAATATAACTTCTGGCTCATGCTTGTATTAATAGAAATGAGCTTAAAGAGGCAGCTGCAGCCCACCAGCCAACCACCACACTGCAATACAGAGACTGCAAGGTTTTTTTTTGTGTGTTCTGAATGTTTAATTGAAATATTTAAACATAACTTAGATTTGTTTTTTGGTTGCAGCTCACTTCTAGCTCCAGGTTAGACACCAAATAGTTACAACATGGTTCCCTCTTACAACACAGCACTTTAATCTTGATACCTGCCTGCTTGACTGTCATTGGAGGTAGTAACGGTCCTGTGGTTAAAGAAAGTGACTGGAAGGTCACATAAATTTGACTGGTACAGGTGAAGCACCCACATCTGCTTCTGCTCTTATTGCCTCCCTGAAGAGATTAAAACTGTATTTTGTGGGTAAGACTGAAACTGATTTAAAGACAAATTACATACATACATACATACATACATACATGCATACATGCATACATGCATGCATACATACATACATACATACATACATACATACATACATACATACAT